AGATACACGGATTACACTTTTGCAGGCTCCCGGGTGGGGATGGGGCGGGCGGGGGGGTCTGGAAGCTGCGAGAGCGCAGAACTTCTGTTCCTCTCCCCTCTTTCTCCGCAGTCAGAGTTACAAGCTTATATGGTCAAAGAAAAAAAAATAATAAAGAAAACGTATAAAATAACAATAGAAAAAGTAATACTTCTGGGAGAGGCGCCGCTGCGGCTCCGCGGAGCTTTCGTTCTTCTTATATATTTTTTTTAAATGGAGTTTCCCTTCCGCCACGTGAGTACCGCCTTTTTGGCCAAGAATTTAGCCGCGTCCTGGGGGAGCCGCCCTGGCTGCCGGTCATGGCCCCCGGGCGGGGCTCCGTAGTTCTGCAAGCGGCCGGGACCCAAGGGACGTGGTCCGGGCAGGTCCACTAGAGTCGCCTCCCGGCTTCTGGTCCCGCTGGAGGCGGCGGCAGTGGCGGGCCCCAGGGCCCTGGTGAGCAGGAGGCTCTGTTTAGCATTTGATCTTGGAGGTTTTGAGCTCCTTCACCTGTGAGTGCAGCGTCTTGTGGACAGCCAGAGTCCTGGACTGGCAGAAGCCCTTCCCGCACTCTTGACACTTGAAAGGCTTTTCTTTGGAGTGAATATATCTGAGGACACAAACAGACAGGGAATTAACTAATCCTTGCAGCATGGTGCTATGTTAGAAACAGTTGCCCAAGACCCCCTCCCCCAAGGGTGAGGTGCTTGCCCTCAAAAGAAGCGGGGGAGGGGCCTGCGGGGTACCTAGAGTGGAGCTGGCAAAACGCTGTTTGCGGATGGAGCAGGGAGGTGGAAGAGAACACCCGCATGCCCTCCTTATAAGGCGGGGGTCAGCACTGAAGGTGAGTGAGGGGACCTGGGGTAGGACAACTTGCTGGAGCTGAACTGTCCCAGAGGGGACCCACCAGCCACGTGTGGTTATTAAAATAGAAATTAAACAAAACGTGAAAGTTAGTCTGTCAGTCACACTCCTTGCCCATTCCAAGTGCTGAGTTGTCACATGCATGGAGTGTCACTCTCTGCTGTAGCAGGGACTTGCACTGGACAGCACTGAGGATGGAGGGAGGGGTAGGAAGTCCTTCATCCTTGTCCTTGTCCAGAATTCAGGGAGACCTGACTTAATCTCCCGTCCTATGTATCCCCTGTTCTCTCCTCCCCATGCTGCTCCGAAAACTGATCCCTGGCTTCCTTCGCTATTTTAGGGAATTCCCAAAAGCTGGGGAGCCCCTGGGGGTGTGGGGTGTCTCCAGAACCTCCTCATTAGGGAGGAGGATGGTGAGGACAGAGGCAGACAGGCAGCTCTAGTCTGGGGCCACCCATGGTGCCGCACCTGTGGTCTCTGAGGTGGTCTTGCCTCCGGAAGGCTTTGTGGCAGATGTCACAGGTGTAGGGCCGCTCGTCCGTGTGCGTCCGCTCATGGATAAGGAGGTTGTAGGACTTGGTGAAGTGGCGGCCACAGAACTTGCAGACAAACTCCTTCTTGGTCTTGGAGGGCAGGCGTCCTCTGGTGGGCTTCTTTTCTGGGGACAGCTTGGTCACATCCAGGAGGGCGCCCAGCCCACCAGCGGGGGAGCCGGGACCCTCCCCACGGCCAAGCTTGGACGGATCTTCTTGCGTGGCAGCCAAGGCCAGGTTGGCAAAATCAAAGCGGGGCTTGGTCTTGAGCGCCACGGGGCCGCCGCCTCCAGCAGTGATCTCCGGCTTGGGCTGGATGACGTGGGGGAACCAGGGAAAGGCTGGCAGCTGGAAGCGTGCGTCCACCAGGTTGGACACGGCTCCTGGCACTTTGGAAAAAGAGGAGCGCGGCAAGTGCATGGCCGGGTAGCCCAGCGTCCACTGGTGCAGGTGCACGGCGTGCAGCGCACTGAAGCCATACAGGTTGGGCAGGTGGTCCGAGGGCACCGTGGGCAGGCCGTTTACCGCCTGGAGAAAGGAGTAGTTGGTGAGCTGCAGGGAGGGGTGGATGGGCACTGGTGCGGGCAAGGTTTTACTGCCCATGGTGGTCGTGTCTGTGGGTTCTCAATCTGGGTCTGCAAAGAGAAGAAGGGAGTGGGGAGAGGACAAGTTCAGAGTAAATCATCCTCCTCAATTCCAGCCCAGCTCTTCCCTTCCTGTCCCCCAGTGCAGGAGCCTGGAGTCTAAGACACCACCCATAGAACCCACTGATCTCAAAGAAGAAAAAGAAGAAGGCAGGAACCCACTGTGATCCAAGGGCTCCCTCCAGATGGCCTCTGGCACAGATGCACAATTTGATAGAGAAACCAGCAGGAAAGTAAATTCAACGCAATGCAAAGGACTTAACAGAAGGAGTATGGCATACATGACCCTGAGAAAGGCAGGAACACGGGGAAACTGGCATGCAGGAACTTCCATCCACGCAAGCCTGAGTCAACACAAAAGTATACTCTCCTGCAAAGATAACAGGAACCCCTGGAAACACAGTTACATACTCGCGCGCAAATAAACACAGAAACACACAGGGACAGACCCACACATTCTGAAGCAGAGTTGACAACAAGGTGCAAAGATGAAGTAGGAAGAGCAGTATCCTACAAAATGCAGGAAGCAACACACAAATACGAGAGGGGGCGGCGTCATTCCGCACTCAGGAAGAGCCTTCCAGACAGACAGCACCCGTCCAGGCTCACACAAACCCATGCATCTCCCGGCTCCTGTGCATGGCGGTCAACCAGCTGACCTTCAGTTTGGCCTCCAGAAGCCAAATGCTCTTTCTCCTCAAAACTCTCAACGTTGACCAGAGATTTGCTTTTCGGACTCACTGTGAATGAGCCCTGTTGACAACCCCCTCTCTGAAGCTGTCTGTGGACTGATGCCCTTGGGGTCACCTTCCTTTCAGGGAGCACACTGACACTCATCTTCATGAACTCAGTCAAGCATCTGTGGTTGCACACAAGGGGACTTAGGAGCCCTCCCTACCCCATAAAGAGGGAGGCAGGGGCTTTAGAGTTGGGGGGGGGGGATGTTTGTGTGTGTGGTGAGCTCTGGACAGGTGGGTATGCCCGAGGGCAAGAAAGAGCATGGAGGCCCGGCACCGCTGCTGGGCTCCAGCCACCGTCCAGCTGCAAGGCCAGAGGGAAGACATGCAGAATTGACCAGCAGGCTGGCATCTCCCAGCCTCTTGGGTCAGGGTCTCCAGTCTCCACGGACAGGGCTGTGCTCTGCAGAGAGGCCTGTGTCTCTGTCTTTCCCAGACACGCAGGTCTGTCTAGCGGAGGCAAAAACAAGAGGAACGAAAGTGAAAAGTACACCCTCTTGGAGCTAAACTCCCTCCAGGACACTCAAGTGCTGACCGCCCTCTCCTCTAGGCTCTGCACTGAGGCTACTCAGGAAGTCCTTGTGGGGCAGGGAGCTTGGGACACCCTTCTCCTTTGCCTCCCCCCAATCCTCTGAGGCCCACTTCCTTTACCCCTTCTTCCCCCTCTCCTCCTCCTCAGATCTCTCCTTCCCTGGGTGCAGGACGCTGCTCTGCTTCCCCCTTCACCGCACAGGCTGACACCTATCCAGGTAGGGTGGGCGCCTGGCTCCCCTCAGCCCAGGCCCAGACTCAGCTGCCTTTCCTTGCAGCAAAGCCTTTAAGGAGAAGAAAGTGCCGCGCTCGTTGGCGGTGGCGGGAAGAGCGAGGACAATCTGGACCCAGGAACCTTGTCCCCTGGAGGGTCACTCGCTGTGTGTTCAGCCAAAAGGACAGAAGCTCTGCTGGGGGTGGGAGTGGGGCGGTTTTCAAAACTCCCTGCGGCGGAGATGTGCGTGCTCGGGTTCCCTTGGCAGTTGAATGAAAACCGGGTCTGACCGCAGCGATTAATTCAGCCTCCGGGCTAAGGAGAGGCTCAAATCTGCCGCGGCCGAGCCTCCAGAACGGAGCGCTGGCGGCCGGCGGGCAGGGCCCTGGCCTCTGCCCCCATCTTCTCTGCTGCCCCAAGCGAGGGCGCGTGGGGGACCAGCGGAGACCATCCTAGAACTCAGGACGAGGGGAAGCAACCTAGGAACCAGGCAAGAGGGAAAACGGGGGCCTTTCTGTGTTGGGAGGGAAGAAAGGAGGGAGGAGAAGGAGAAGGAGAAGGAGAAAACTCGCCAACTTACAAGGTTGGCGAGGTGAGCGCTCTTTGATTTGCTGTCACCTCCTCCTCCCCCAGAAGCTGGAAATCAGATCGCTATCTCTGGCTCCCCTGGACCTGCCTGGGACCCTCTGCCCCCCTGGTCTCGGTGCTCGGACTACCCGCGTTTTTTTTTGCAGCCACCAGGGCTCCTGGAGCCAACCTTCCGGGCCATCTGCCTGATCTTGTTTTCCCCAACACTCGGTTTATTTTCCTCCGCCGCGGGCACAGCCAGTGTCCTATTTTCTGCCCCATCCCAGGGACAGGGCTCCCCAGACTCTCACCAAGGACTGTGACTTTCCCGGGGACGAAATTCGTTGGAAACGTGGCTCTTTGCACGAGTACCCAGAAGGGGCCGAATGCAGGATCCGGTTTCTGGCGGTCAGCTAAGAGGAAAACACAGCTCACCCAGGCGCACCCGCCGGAGAGGGTGAGCTCTGCTGGCCCTGACCCTGGAACCCCAGTGTGAACTCTTCAGGTCATTAAATCCGAGAGGGAACCCCTCTCCCCGGCCCGGCATTCCACTCCGCCAGTAGCGGGGGGCCTCCGGACCTCGGAGGTGCGGTTCAAGGTCCCGACTACACGCAGCAAATGCGTTTCACGCTTGGAAACCCGAGTCCCCGCGCGGTGGAGCGCCAATCCCAGGTCTGCAGCCAGCCCTCAGCCGGGCATTAATGGAGTGTGCAGAGTCTATTAAAGTGGTTTATTCGGGGCTAATTGAGCGTGTGCGAGTTAACTGCTTGCATTAATGAGAACGGAGCGAGCTCCACGAGCTTGCGACTGGAGGAGCCCAGCGGTAGCCCCAGAAAATCATCCTGGACATGGAATCCCCAACACGAGCGATGGGCGGCCGAGCCGCAGGCGGGAGGATTGTCCAGCCCCGGCTACTTTTGTTGAATTTTCCCACGGAAGGAGATCAAACGAATCCTTCTGCTAGGTTGCCATCCGCCGCATTAAACGCCCTCTGCGTCCTTAGCGATCTGCTCCCCAATCTTAATGAAACCACAATTACTTAGAGGAGCCAGCCTTAGGGTGGAAAGTCTACCCAGGGATCTCCCTCCACCCGGATCCCCTGTCCCTGCCAACCCTTCCGAGGCTGCGAACCTGGGGAACGAACGAGCCTCGCACGTGGTTTCTGTTCCCAGGAGCCAGCGCACAGCTCCCAGCCCGGCGAAATTTACCAAGTTGTGGCAACAAAGAAACTCCCGGCCGCTTTACACCCCTCCAGCCTACCCCGCGCTGCCGCCCCTGGGGGCGCTGAGGCAGGG